CCAAACTGCCACTAAGGTGTGGGATACCTGGGGAAACGATTTTAATCATGTGAAAACTAATATTAAAACATCAGTCCTACATGCTCTTCTTTTCTTTTTTAGACTTAAAATTTTTAATTTAAATAATTTTTTCAAAAAGTTTAAATTGATTTTGAGAGAGAGAAGAAACTTAAGAGAAGAAAGAGGGAGAGAGAAACGCCATGTGAGAGTGAAACATTGAGGCGCTGCCTCCGGGAACTCATGACCCCACTGGGGATCGAGTCTCATCGCATAAGCACTGACCAGAACTGAATCTGTAACCTCTGGTGCACAGGACAAAGCCCAACCACTGAGTCGCCCCGGCTGGAGCTGAGCCATTTTTAATTTTCCATTACAGGTGCCACACTTTATATTAGTTTTAGGCACCCCCAGTGATTAGGCATCCTATAACATACTGAGTGACCATCCTGAATAAATCTAGTGCCCAGCTCACTCCACACAGTTATTACAATGTTAACAATGCTCTCCAGCTGTACTTTACATTCCCATGACCCCTGTGTAACGATTTGTACTTCTTAATCCCTTCACCTTTTCCACTCAGCCCCCAACCCCTCCTCTCATCTGGCAACTGTCAAATGTTCTATCTATGAATCTGTTTCTGTTCTGCTTCTTCATTTTTTAAAATTCATTTGTTGACAGATAAGAATTTTTTGCCAAATTATTGTGCATATTCTTATCTTCTCAAATAAGATCCTTTAACATTTCTTGTAATACTAGTTTGGTGGTGATTAACACCTTTAGCTTTTTCTCATCTGGGAAGCTCTTTTATCTGCCCTTCATTTCTAAATGATAGTTTTAGTGGGTAAACTAATCTTGGTTGTAGGTTTTTGCTGTTCATCTTTGAATATTTTTCAATCCCTCTTGGCCTGAAAACTTTATTTTGCTAAACCAGCTGATGGTCTTATGGGAGCTGCCTTGTATAGTGCAGATGAAAACGGGGAGCCATTTATATCGGGTCCAGCATTTGCCATGGACAAGATGCCAGGACCCGTATGATCTCTCTCTCGCCCTCTCCTTTCCTCTCTGAAATCAGTCTATATATTAAAAGGATGAAATTCTTATCATCAAATTTCTCCCCATAATCCAGCCAACTTGGATCAGTGGGTTGAGCATTTACCTATGAACCAGAAAAATCACATCTGATCCCGTCAGGGCACATGCCCAGGTTGTGGGCTCAATTCCATTTGAGGGGCATGCAGGAGGCAGCCGATCAATGATTCTGTCTCATAAGTGATGTTTCTCTCCCTCCTTTTCCTCTCCTATTCTCTCTGAAATCAATAAAAATATATTAACAAATAATTTCTCCTCATAGATGGACTTGCAGCCTGTGCCATTATGGTGTGTGAAATCACCAGCCTGACACATAAACCTTGGAATAATTCTGACAAAGCAGGAACCTTTATAACCAAATCCTTTTTACTCAGTGCTCAGAGCACAAAGTTTCTGTCTTTGAAACTTTGTCTGAAAACAGCTTGTAGACGACCCGGCCCAAGGCTCACCATCCATAGTGACTTCCAAACCATGGTGGGAGTCACCATGGCAGGGAACGGGCGGCTCCAGGGTGCAGCCCTCTGCAAGGCCTCCGAAGTTCACAATGTCCTGCTCTCTTCCTCCTTCCCACCCCCTCTGCTGCAAAGACTGGTACACTTGGAGTTGTTCCAGAGGATCCTTACACAATCCTCATTTTATTAGATTCTTTTTGCTGTCCTGATTGAATGTTTTTGGCTTTCTTATATTCCAAATCAGAGAACGAAATTTGATTCTCAGCTTCATCTACTCTACTGTTGATTTCCTGTAATTTATTATTTCAGTTAATATATTATCCTTCATTACTTTTTTTTCTTTAATGCTGCTGAGTTGGGTTGTATACACCCTCCCGTTGTATTGAGCCTTGATTGCTGTTGACACATCAATGAGAAGGATGGACTCCCAGGTCAATTCATGGCTGCCGCAATGACCACGGAGGACTCACTTCAGCAAAGCTCTACCCCTTGAGCATGATGCTGTGGTTGGGATGTTGCAACATGATCTGCAGCTGTCCACAGGATGCCCATGCCCTGGCTGTGGTTCCTCCAGCGAGAGGCTGACCTAGGTTGCAAGTTCCATCCCTGGTCAGAAGTTTCTCTCTCTGAGCTTAGAATTCAGGTGAGGCCCCCTTGCAGATGTTGAAGAAAAATTTCACATACCAAAGGTCAGACTGGAACCAGCTTTTGCCTTCCAGGCAGGGTGGGACAGGAACCCCAACATGCTACAAATTAGCTGTGGCTGTTCCTGCCCAATTCGACAGGATCCTATAAGCCCTTCTTCTTTTTTAAAAAAATAATTAATGTTGGAAGTATTATATACTAGTGGACTGATGCACAAATAAAGATTCGTGCAAGAATGGGCCTTTGTTGCCCTGGCTTCTGGCACTGTCTTTGCTCTGGCCTGAGTAGCCTTTCTGCCTTCCCAAGTTGCCCAGAGGCCCTGAGTGACTAGGGCGGTGCGGAATGCCTGTTGTCACCATGGCAACGATGCATGTGTCCTGCCCTGTCCTGGTCGCTCCTGCATATGCAAATTAACCCAACAAAGGTGGGTTAATTTGCATACTAACTCCTGATTGGCTAGTGCGCATAGTGAAAGTATGGGCAATTAGCATCTTTTATTAGGTAGATATCCCCTTTCCCACCACACCTGCCCCCTCTTGCCAGCCCCAGGCTCTCACAGGCCCATTGTCTGTGTCCATGGGTCATGCCTATATGCAATCAAGGTCCTTGTGGTTGATTACTTTCCTGTCCCCCCATGCATTCCCTCTGAGATTCCCCATTCTGTTCCATGCCTAATCAGCCCTTCTCAAAGAAAGTAAGACAATTTCATTCCACTAAGTAATGAAAAACAACAAAAATAATCAAATACTGATAGAAAGGATTGAATCATTTAACAGTCACCTATCACCTAAATTTTTATTTTAACTTTCCTTCTTTTTCTCTCTTGAATCAATTTAACCATCATTGGTTTATCTGCTCTTTGGGAGTTTGGTAGGATTCAGTGAAATAATCTGGTCCTGGCGCTTTTCTGGGAGATAGTACTTCAAAATTTTTTCTATTTTGTCTATGGAAAATGGCCTGCTTAAATTTTCTATCTCCAGAATTCAAAGGGAGTTAGATACTAGCAATTTATCACATTTATGTAATTAGAAAAATCATCTGATTATTAGGGTTTTTGTCTGTTTGATTTACTAATGTATTTCTAGTGTCCAGAGCAATGACTGGTACGCAATAAATATTTGTTGTATGAATGAATGCTGAAGCAATCTGACAAAATTCAACGTCCATTTATTATTAAAAACTCAATACACTAGAAAATATAGATGCTCCAATAAAACGGGGGTGGGGGGGAGGGACGGATGACGACTCCACTCTAGCCATAGAATTCATTGGGTACATATTTATACCTTTGAGTTTCAACACAACATCTGAATCTATTAACTTTTTAAAGGTAACAAAGTTAAAATGATTACACCCAGTCTATTTTATGTTGGGCAGTTGTGTCTCTGTGCCTCAGGCAACATAGTCAATTACCAACGAGTCTGCATTTTATTGAAGAGGGGACTGAAAGAGAGGGGAGCGGAGCAGCCTGCCTGATGTCACACAGCTAGTAAGCGATAAGAGCTAATATTAAAGGTGAGTTCTAGGCACTATTCTGCATTTAAACGTGATTTTCTTCTGTTTGGTTCTAGGCCCTTATTACTCTACTAGTAGCCCTGCACACGATTAAACGGCTCAGTTCCCTGGGCCTGGCTGCAATCAGGGCCATGTCTGCTGCCCAGCATCACCCCTCCACCTCTGCGGCCCCTACCCCATGACCTTCACGCTAACAGGCCCTGCCCCACGAGGCTCCTTGGGCTCTACTGCCCATCCGCATGACGCTTTCTGCCTCAGCAGCCCCTCGAAGCGCCATGCTCACTGCCCCTGCCCTGCGAGGCTCCTCAGCCTACTCAGCCCTGCCCCCCACACTGTGAGAGCTGGCCCGGTTCTTTGGTCATTTGGGCCCAGTTTCCTCCTCCCAGCCGCTGCCACTAGAGATGAATTGTGAGTCCGAGGGTACAGTGGGAGGGTGGAAATTTATTAAGATAGTCAAGAGAATTGTGGAGGAATTGCATAGAAAACTCCATCTGAAGTTAATGCAGCTGCACCCTCCTGGCTGCACAGCCACCTAGTGCTGGCCTAATCCTAGCTCTTTTCTTTCTTCCATAGTTCTCTATGCAATTCCTCCACAATTCTCTTGACTATCTTAATAAATTCTATTTAGAATCTAAACCATATTATTTTATCCCCAACAATCATCTCTCCTGGGTTTCTGCCATGCCCTCCAAACAATTCCTCTGTCCCCAACTTAGCCTCTCTAAAGCCTACTCTCTCCCGCAACCAGGCTGATCCTCCTAAAATGTCAGATCAAACTCCACTGAGGCTCTCACTGAAACCCAGCAGACTAAATCATAGTGTGGGCCATACACCCGATGACTGGGGAACCCTGCACACTCCTAAAATAACCTCCTGCTGCTCCTTTCATGGGCAAACATATCCTGTCTCAGGGCCCACCGTCCAATGCTCTTCGCCCGACAGCCATATGGTTATCACATCTGCTCAAATGTATTCTCATCAAAGCCCTCCCTGGTCACGTCATGGAAAACTAGCCCCCATCATTTCAAATGACATTCACCCTATCTAATTTTCCCCAGAAACATTTTTCATCATCTAAAAAAGTGTATATATAAATATATTTTTAAATTGTGTCTCCAGACCCTAAAATAGAAACTCTGAGCTAGGAATTTGTCTTATCCTCAGTAATTAGAACACCTAATAGCTCATTTTAAAAAGGACCCAGTAAGTATTTATTGAGTTAGGAAAGGCGTTAAGAATGGAAAGGAAAAAGGGAGAGAAGAAGGAAGAATGGCCTGATCATCGAACACCCAGACATACCTCAGTGCTGAATCAGTAGCATGCGCTGCTGCTGTAGTAATGACTGGAGACTGAGCTCTGGTGGCTGACACAGTTGCTACCACAGCAGGAGGGATGGTATTAGAAGTCGTCACAGGTGGACGAGACTACCAAGGTAGAGAAAAAAATATTTCACTTAAAACAAAAATCAAAACAACATATAGTAAGACAAACACTAAAAGTATAATTTGAAATCTGGGCCTTCAAGTAAGTATGTTTATGTACCATTCTTATTAAGGAATTATCTTTTTGGCTATGTTGTTATCCAAGAGTCAGACTTATAAAAAAGAAATACAATTTTGGTTGGATAAAACACAAGTCCCTTCTTTCTAAGTACAACTGGATTAAAAATTCTGTCTTACTATCAGTGTCAGTACAAATTGGCCGGAACCTTTCAGATCCAGATTTCCCACATGTCTGCTGCTGGCCCTGGTGCAGACAGTTGACATTACCATGCAAACCAGTGCGGTCCGCAGAGGGCTCCTCAGCCCCTGGACAGAGCGAGTGGCTGGCCCTCAGGGCATCCATGTTAGCGTACTAAAGGCAAACACACAGTGGTGGCCTTCTTGCTCTCAAAAGATTCAGTGTCCAGATGCTCTCTGGAGGCGTTCACACGGACACACTTCCCTTACCGCTACATGTATGTGAGACCTTCACCTGACAACTGAGCTCCACACGGGCTTCCCCTGCTTGTCCACTGTCAATCCTGCCATTTCTCGGAGCTCCTCTCAGTGGGTCCTCTTTCTTGACCTTGTTACATATACTTAAATCTGCAAATTCTGCCCACTTTTTTTATTTTTTTATATCACAATATGTTTTATAGATTTCAGAGAGGGAGTGAGAGGGAGAGAGAGAGAGAGAGAAAACAAAACGAAACAAAACATTATGATGAGAGAGAATCCTTGATCCTCCTGGGGATCGAGCCTCCAACCCAGGAATGGAACTGTGACCTCCAGACAAACCCTGGCCATTCCTGAGCTCTGTGCTTCCCTACGTGCTTCTTCCCTCCGTGCCTATGGTTACAGCTTGCTGTCTGACCTGAGAGCTGCTTCACTGTCCTCGCTCAGTTCCCCTCCTTCGCCAATCCTCCCTATCTGCCACATGTCTTCCTAGGGGAACCTCATCAGTTTCTAAGTGCTTTGTTAGCCAGCAAGGTCTTTTATTCTTTTTAATTAGAAAGCTCTAGGCTGGACATGTACTACCCAGTGTCCTAATCAGCACTTTTCCTCACTGTTTTAAACCTGTTCTGATACATATCACCAATCTCGTCTCCTACATGTAATTCAGCTATGTTCATTTCTCACAGATACTTGTCTGATTATACATTATTCAAAAAACTTAAGTAGCTCTCTGCAGCGTACAAAATCAAGTTTACAGTCCATATCTTAAGAGTTCTGTTTTGAGACACAACAATATCACTTAATCTTGCATTATACTTCAGTAGTACGGAGAGTGCAAATTTCCTTGAAAGAAGCTGAAAAGCATACACAGACTGTCTTCCTCAAAAAGTATACATATGTGTGTAAAACAGTTAGGGGTTCCTAAACCCCTATCCAAATTAGAGCCGCTCAGCTCTAACCAGTCTTTACTAATAAACATTGTAGGGAACAATCACTGTCTTCCTTGCCACTGCTCACCGCACTGCCCCTCACTTCCTCAAAATCTCGTTACCACCCTCCTCCTAACAAAAAGCTCGCCTGCCAGCGTGGCTCAGCTGGCGGGAGTGTCCCGTGCACCTGAAAGTTTCAGGTTTGATCCTGGTCAGGCACATACGGGAGGCAAATGATGGATGTTTCTCTCACAATGATGTTTGTCTCTATTTCCCTTCCTTTCTCTAAAATCGATAAAAACATATCCTGGGGTAAGGATTTAAAAATAAAAAAAAAGCCAATTTTCTTTACTACTTCTTCTAAATTCTTTTTTTAAAAAAATATATTTTATTGATTTTTTTTTTTAGAGAGGAAGGGAGAAAAACAGAGAGCTAGAAATGTCAATGAGAGAGAAACATCGACCAGCCACCTCCTGCACACCCCCTACCGGGAATGTGCCCGCTACCAATGTACATGCTCTTGACTGGAATCGAACCTGGGACCCTTCAGTCCGCAAACCAATGCTCTACCACTGAGCCAAACCGGCTTCCGGCCTCTTCTAAATTCTTACAGAGGATCAGACATTGTATACGATTCAACCTTCCCTTCACTTGAGGTCAAAGGATTCTCACTGCCTAGCAGAACGAATGACTCAGAGTAAGCATTCACACTTCCTGGTTGACACCCTACACCCTACACGTACCTGGATTGGCTGGTGAATGATGTGCTGGACTGCTGGTGGAGCTGCTGCAGCATTTGGCAACTGGGAAGTCGGCCTCAGGACTGTGGTTACTTTAGAACTAGACATCACAGCAGCAGCTGCTGCACCTGGAAAATATTTTTTTCATTAGTAAAAATTTAAATAGTTCTCATTATATTCCTTGGGAATATAATCAGAATTCCTAAAACTCAATGTCAGTATTCAGTAGAAATTCTGCCTATTTCATCACATAGGAAATTAAGAAACTGTGCACTCAAGGGCTGAGATTTAACAAGTTTACTGATCTGTATTGCTTCTTGAAACAATGAAATTGGGTGGGGTTTTTTTTTATTTTCTTAGCTGCAAGTATGTAGCAATGAAGCAGTGAGGAGCCTGGTTTGGTGCCTCTGCTGATGCAGGCCAACCCTCCAACAATCTAACCACCAGACAGACAGGGAGGGTCCACCAGATCCACCGCTGCCTCTGCACCATCAGCGCAATGCCAACGCTGTGACAGGCAGACGATGACTCAGTATATTCATGGAAAGTTTTGATCTTACAAAGATGCCTTGCCATCTGTGAGCCTCACCTTGTGACTTACAAAGTTACGTTAAGCCAGAGTAAACCTGATTTTGCATTTTTTTAATCCAATTTTGCAAGCAATGATTTTATACACTCCATTAAAAAGTAACATTTTTGACCAGGAAGTTGAGAAACTTCATTAAATTTAATAACTCATAACTGATTTGAACTTAATTGCAAGACAACATCTTACTGCTATGAGAATAAAAAATTTTGGTTAAAACTTTAAACATATAGGAGTTAGTATTTGCAACTCAGCAGTATTTGTATTTGCAATTTATTAAAAATAAGACCATGTTTAGGCTATCATAGCCTTGAGGAGTTCTTTAAAAAGGACCATTTTTAGACATTAAAAATCTAAATTGTGGAAACCAAGATGGCTGCATAGGTACACGTCTAACTGCAGCCTCACACAACAATTTCAATAAAATACAACTAAAATATAAAGTGGACATTATCCAGAACTACAGGAAAGTTGACTGACTGGAAATTCTATAACTAGAAGGAAAGCGAAAACCAGAAGGAAAATCAGAAGAGCTGTAAAAGCCTAAGGTACGTAGACACTGTGTGCACGTGGGGAGAGGACTGAGCCGGAGAGGAGGGGCGGCTGAGTGTCTGGTTGGTGTTCCCTAGTGGGAAGGAGATAAAAGCTCCGGACTGTGCTGAACCCCAGTTCCAACTGCACTGAACACCAGTTCTGGACGAGACCCTGGGGACCCAGACACATACAGAGGGATACTAGGCTGTAAGGCGGGAACTCAGGGGAGCGGCAAAAAGCAGAGCCCCAGAGTCGTGCACATTGCACGCAGAGGACTGACTGTTGACTGTGCTGCTGGATTGCCCTAGCGGGAAGGAGAGAAAAGCTCCAAACTGCACTGAACCCCACTTCCAACTGCACTAAACCCCAGTTTCAGGCTCATTGGGGGAGAGACTAGACTATCTGGTAGTGGGCAAAACTCAAGGGCACCTTTCTGTCAGAGGTGCTTGCAGTGAGTACCAAAGGACACTGAGGGACACTGAGACTCAGGAACCACATAGGGCGGGGCTAAGCGGAAGCCAAGGCTGTAGGCTCCACCCTGAAACTCCACTCCATCCAAGCTGAGCACAGAGGTTTTTGAATAAGGCTGTCTCCCAGCATAGACACAGCTGATCCTCACAGCCAATTGGCCTGGAGGTCAGTTCCTCTCAGTGATACCAACAACAATTAAGACTTACCTACAAAAGGCTGTACACACACTCCACAAAAGGGGGCACCAAGAGTGTCCACCTCAGATAACTGGGAGGCTGACCCACTGAACCATATAGGACACCTTAGCACACAAAGCCACCCTACAAACTCAGGGAAGCAGCGAAAATGCCAAGACAAAGAAACGTATCACAAACAAAGAAATGGAAGACAAAAAGCGACTGGATATAGAGTTCAAAACCACGCTTATAAAGTTTTTCAAGAATTTCTTAGAAAAGGCCGATAAAATAAATGAGACCTATGAGGATATGAAAAGGGAGCAACTAGAAATAAAGAATACATTGTCTGAAATAAAAAATATTATACAGAGTCCTAAAAACAGAATGAAAGATTGCAAGAATCAATTAAAAGATTTGGAACACAAAGACCCAGAAGCAAGAAGACAAGAGAATCTAGAAAGTTGGAGATAGCATAAGAAACCTCTAGGACAACTTTAAGCGAACCAACATCAGAATTATGGGGGTCCCAGAAGATGAGAGAGAACAAGATACCGAAAACATAATGAAAGAAATAGTGACAGAAAACTTCCCCCACCTGGGGATAGAAATAGACTTACAAGTCCAGGAAGCAAATAGAACCCTAAACAAAAGGAATCCAAAGAGGACCACACCAAGACACATCATAATTAAAATGCCAAGAGCAAAAGACAAAGAGAGAATATTAAAAGCAGCAAGAGAAAAGCAGGTAGTTACCTATAAAGGAGCACCCATACGATTGTCAGCTGATTTCTCAACAGAAACCATGCAGGCCAGACGGGAATGGCAAGAAATATTCAAGGTGATGAATAGCAAGAACCTACAGCCAAAATTACTCTACCCAGCAAAGCTATCACTCAGAATCGAAGGCCAGATAAAGAGCTTCACAAATAAAAATAAAGCTAAAAGAGTTCATCAACACCAAACCAGAATTATATGAATTGCTGAAGGGGGTTCTTTAGGAAGAGGAAGAAAATAAAGATAAAAATTATGAACAACAAATACGTAACTATCAACAAGTGAATCTAAAAACCAAGGGAATTAAAAAATCTGATGAACAATATTAACTGGTGAATAGAATCAGACGTATGGGAGGGGAGTGAACTGACGATTCTCGGGGAAAAGAGGAGTGGAGGGTGCGGGAAGAGACTGAACATAAACTGTGCACCTATGGATGAGGACAATGGGGAGTAGGGAAAGAGCAGAGGGAGGGGTGGAAACCTGGTGGAGGGGGGAAAAAATGAGGAACTTTAATAATATGAACAATTAGGATTTATTTTTTAAAAAAATCTAAATTGCTTTAAGTTTACACACACACACACACACACTTGTTGTATCTATAATAAGCACATACTACATGATGCTAAAACCACGTACTGCACTTATTTCTACTGTCTTGTCATGTGAATAAACTAGTTTCGGATATGTTTTGTGTAACATATCTCCTACCAAATGTATACTACATTTCAAGAATTTGAACAAAACGTGCAGACTTTACCTCGAGGTAAATGCGAAGCTCCGATGTGCAGCGGTGGCCCGGGAGTGCTGCTGCGGATAATGGACATCTGCACGTTGGTGGTCATGATGTGGTGCAGGTTACTGGGATGGCCCTGCAACAGACACGAGGCAATGTTCTCCCCCTGAGAGTCGAAGCCCCTGTGGTTAGATGTTGCTTCCGGTAGTTCCGTGGTCTCCAAATGCGGACCAGCTGCTCCTCTCCGAGCGCCGCGCCCAGGGAAGGACACTGAGCTCTCCCCACAGCACGCTGCACGGTGGCCTGTGGGCAGGCCCGGTGAGTGCCTGTGAGAACACACCCACTAGCTGGACCCCAGACACATGCCACAACTGACTAGCCACTCTGGACACTCTCATCTTCAATATCACTCTTTCAGGCTTGTTTTCTGTCGTGGCCAAAAGCTGATTTTTTTTTTTTTTTCCTATTCTCACCATTTCCTTTGCATGCCACTGCAGTCATCCATTCTTTATGCTCTGTTTCTAAGTAAAAGTCAGTTAGAATCCAGCAAGTACTCCTATACTGGTTCTTCAGTTCACTCCTAGATAACCCTTCCTCATATTCTCCCAACCCTAAACCAGTGCTTCTCGTGTGTGTGTGTGTGTGTGTGTGTGTGTGTGTGTTTAGGGGAAGGGAAGGAGGCTGGCGGGGGGAGGGGGCAGACAACTTCTTAGAGTACTCAGCAATGAGACAAAAGTAAAAACAGCCGGGATCGGTTTGGCTCAGTGGATAGAGCATTGGCCTGCAGACTGAAAGGTCCCGGGTTTGATTCCGGTCAAGGGCATGTACCTTGGTTGCGGGCACATCCTCAGTGGGGGGTGTGCAAGAGGCAGCTGGTCGATGTTTCTCTCTCATCGACGTTTCTAACTCTCTGTCCCTCTCAATTCCTCTCTGTGTAAAATCAATACAATATATTAAAAAAAAAAAAAAAAAAAAAAAAAAAAAGTAAAAACACAATGCACCTTTCTGGAATACCGATTTTTTTTTTCCTTGAAAACTTAAAGGGAAAGTTTTAAGGTTTAGTATTTTTCATGGGTAATTTAAAATATTTAAGTAAATCAAATACTGTATATATTATGCAGAAGAATTACATTTTCAAAAAAAAATTTTTAATTTAAAACACAAGACTTTAAGCCCTAGCCAGTGTGATTCAGTGGATAGTGTCTGTCTGCAGACCAAAAGTTCCTATATTCAATTCCAGTCCAGTGCGTGTACATCAGGCGCAGGCTCCCCCTGCCCAGGCTTTGGCCAGGGCACATGCAGGAGGCAACAAATCGATGTTTCTCTCACATCAGTGTTTCCGTCTCTCCCTCTCTCTTCCACTCTCTCAGAATCAATGGAGAAATAACCTTGGGAAAGGACTTAAAAATCACACACACACACACACCCCCAAACCCCCAAAAGACTTAAAAAGAACTGTCCTGATCGGTGGATGCTAGAGAACCCGCCAGTCACTCAAGAGAGATGCAGCTGCTGTCCTCAGAGCAAACCTGGAAGAGCAGCACTGCTGTGCGAGCTCTCAGCCCACCCACATGCTGAACTCAGCCCAGCGCCACCGGCTCTGAGCGCAAGGACACGGCCTGGGTCCTCTAGACCTGCGTCTCAGGGCAGGCAGTGCCTCACGCAGAGCAGGTCTCGGCATCTATTGGCCAAACGACAGACCGCTGTGCATTTGGCTTTATTCACCGTAGCTACTTCTCTCTCAAACCTACCATCTTCCTCTTGCAGATATAAATGCCTGTTTAATTTTTTACTTAGTGCGGTGCCTAATACACTGCTGACATTCAATAAATAATGATCTACAGTCTGGCATCTCAGTTTGAAAATCAATAGATTAAGAGGGGAAAACCTGTTGTCCACTGATGGTCGCCACAGGAATGGCTGAAGCTTGAGGAATGCTGCTCTCCATGGTAACTGTGACCTGCCCTGGAACCTTGGGAGGGAGTGACAAGGTAGAAGGTGGAGCAGGAGCGATGGGACGGCTAGGCATCGTGGGCTTCGGGGGCGGCTGCAAACCGAAAAGCACGCGAAACGTTACCCACAACGTTGCATGAGTAACGTATTTCGTGTTAAAGTTAAAAGTACACAAGTCAACCCTGGAGAGTGCCAGGAAAGATGCCAGAACCCTTGTATGTTTCCTCTCATCATCATAGCTTTTCCGCTGGAGGATCAGCACAGATGAGGAACATGCAAAACAAGTCTGTCATTTGCTCAAAGCCACACAAAGAGCAACAACGGGAACGGGCATAAAGTCCAGATCTATACGGCTTACAGCCCACAATCTCCTACACAATGCTGCCTCCCCCAGGAGTGAGCAGAAGCAAGCAAACCTCATAGGAACTGAAACATGACTACAATAGGTAATATTCTCATTTATCCCCAAATTAGCAAGCTATTAAAAGAAAACCTCAGGTCCTAGCTGGTTTGGCTCAGCAGATAGTGTGTTGGCCTACGAACTGCAGGGTCCCAGGTTTGATTCTGATCAAGGCCACATGCCAGAGTTGTGGGCTCAATCCTCAGTGTGGGGTTGGCAGAAGGCAGCTGATCAATGAGTCCCTCTCTCTCACTCTCTGACATCAAGAAAAATATATCTTAAAAAACGAACAAAAAAAATGACACACATACAAAATAAAACTTTGGCCCTGGCCAGGGGCTCAATTGGCTGGAGTGCCCTCCCATACCCTGAAAGGGTGTGGGTTCAATTCTCCGTCAGAGCACATAGCTAGGTTGTGGGTTTAATCCCCACCCAGTGCATGTATGGAAGGCAGCCAATGATGTTCCCTCTCACATGGATGTTTCTCTCTCTCCTTCCCTCCCTCCCTCCCCGCCCCCCTCTCTCTCTCTCTAAAAAGATAAGTAACCATATCCTTGGGTGAATATTAAAACCAAACCAAACCTTGGAGAAGAGTGTCACTCCAGTCCTAGCCAGTTTGACTCAGTGGATAGAGTGTCGGCCTGCGGACGAAAGGGTCCGATTCAAATCCAGTCAAGGGCACAGGCCTGGGTTGTGGCTCAATCCTCAGTGGGGGCATGCAAGAGGCAGCCAATCAAAGATGTCTCCCTCATCGTTGATGTTTCTCTCTCTCCTTCTCCCTTCCTTTCTGAAATCAATTTAAAAAAAAAAAAAAAGAGTGCTACTCCCAGAGAATCATTGATCAGCCGAGTTAGCATGTCTATAACTTGAATAAAATCAATGTCAAATGAGTACTGGAAAAGTTCCTAAGATGCCAACTGCTCAGCTGCATAAGACTAGACACTGCCGAACAGCAGATCTCCAAGTGAGAAGAAGAGCTGAACTGATAGGTCAAAGCAAACTATGGTACTAGGACTCAGCCTCAAACTTGGTGAAAATGGTCAGCAATATCACAGCCAGTCTTTAGCTGTGGTTCAATGTGAAATTTTAATTCTGCGTTACCTTCATAAGGCCCTCCGAAAAGGAGAGCGGCACTGCAGGCGTCAGGTGTGCTGGTGGGGCTGTCACAGCGACAGGGGTGCCCGATGCCACAGCGTGGTGTGCAGGCAGCATCTGCACCTGCGGATAGGGCCTTACCACCACGGGCTCTTGCTTCTCTTCCCGGGCCTGGAGGGAGCTGCTGGATCCCATATGCTCCCTGGCAGTGACTTCAGCATCTCGAGAAGACTCATCATTGACTAGTGAAGATGAAGAAGGGTAGCAGAGCATGTCATGCCTTTCCAATAGTGATTAATATAACAGCATATACTAGAGTGGAACTTGCAGTTAATGTCAGTTGATCAGAGAATTTGGGCACTAAGTTCCCCTGATGGTGAGCAAACCAAAAGTCACACCTGTGAGACTTATTTTGGTTCCTGTGGTTTTCCCATTCCTATGAACCAAGCACTTGACAACTACTAAAACAAGCTCAAATTATTGAAAGTGCAATACATGATATAATTTCATTTGAAATATTTATTTAAAATGTCATAAAAACTGCCCTAACTGGTTTGGCTCAGTGGAAAATGTCATAAAAACTAACATTAAAAAGATAATCTAAGCCCTGGCCACTGTGGCTCAATTGGTTGGAACATCATCCTAGACAACTGAAGGGTCACGGGTTCAATTCCAGTCAAGCACATATTAGGTTGTACGTTTAATCTCTGCTCTGGGGCAAATTATTATTTTGTTTTGTTTTGTAATGAAGGGCATTTTATTTTCCATTCAGATTTTATTTTTCTTCTTTTAATCCTCACCCAAGGATATGTTTTCATTGATCTTAAGAGATGGATGGAGAGAGAGAAACATAGACATGAGAAAGACACTGATTGGTTGCCTCCCGCATAAACCCCCACTGGGGCCAGGGATGGAGCCTACAACTGAGATACATGCTCTTGATCGGAATCAAACCCAGGACCATTCAGTTTGCAGGCTGTGGCTTTATCCACTGAGCCAAACTGGCCAGGGCTATTAACTTTTTAATTGAAATAAAACCCTCATAAAGTGCACAAATGTTAATTGTACAGTTCAATGATCTTGCACAAACTGAATACACCCGAGTAACCAACACCCCAGATCAAGAAACACAACAACCCAGACAGCGTGGCTGTGTGTGAGCGTTGACCTTTGATCTAGGCGGTCACAGTTAGGCTCCCAGTTAGGGCACATGCCCTGGTTGTGGGATCTGTCCACAGTGTGGGGCGTATAGGATGCAGCCGATCAATGATTCTCTCTCATCTCTGTTTCTATCTCCCTCTCCTTCTCCCTTCCTCTCTGAAATCAATATATATGCATAGTGGCCCTGGTGCACAAAATTTCATACACGGGGAGGCGTGGAGGAGGGGAGCCTCAGCCCGGCCTGCGCCCTCTTGCAGTCCAGAAAAGTCAAAGCTGTAGTGATAGAAAACACATCAATGGTTTTTAAGGAATAAATGTAGTAGAGAATTCACTGCAAAGGGCCATGATTGAACTTGTTAGATGGGAAATGTTCTATATTATGATTATGGTGTGGTTACAGTACTGTGTACTCTTATAAAAATGTACCTAATTTTAAACGAGGAATTAGTGGATTTTATGTGTAAACTGTACTTCACTAAGGCTGATTTAAAAAATGTAAAAAAAAAAGCCCGGCTGGTGTGGCTCAGTGATAGATTGGTAATCCATGAACCAAGAAGTTGCTGGTTCTATTCCTGGTCAGGTCACATGCCCAGGTTGCAGGCAGAGAATCACTGATTGCACATATCACACTGGGGATCTAGCATGCAACCAGGTTTGTACAATGACTGGTTCATGGGTGGACCACTGGTCCATACTGGCTGGGCTACATCTATACTTTGAGTCTTCATTAAGTCATTTTAGGAAAAATTTTCCAAAAGTACAAATGTTAGGTGAAAAGATAAATATATATTTAATATTTTGGCATATTGACTTTTCTCTCAGATCATTCAGATTTTTCTAAATTTTTTAAAATATAAACATATATTGATGTTTTTACAGAGGGAGAGCTAGAAACATCGATGCAAGAGAAACATCAATTAGCTGCCTCCTGCACAACCCCCACTGGACATGTGCCTGCAACCAAGGTACATGCCCTTGACTAGAATTGAACCTGGGACCCTTCAGTCCACAGACCAACACTCTATTCACTGAGCCAAACCAGTTAGGGCCAGATTTTTCTAACTTTTGATTTTTAGAACCACTTTACAAAGGTGCAATCCTATATAACAAAAGCCTAATATGCTAAGTGTCTGGTGGTCTGTTCAACCAATCAAAGCATGATACATTAAGGTGGCCCAACACCTAATAGGCCATCATATATATCTTCCTTTGTGAAGGATATGTTTATATCTTTTTTCAATTTTTTAATGTATTTCTTTATTGATGTTTTGAGAGAGGGAGAGGGATAAAACATCAATGAGAAACATCATCAAAAGGCTGCCCCCTGCATGCCCCCTATTGGGGATCAAGCCTGCAACCTGAGTATGTGACCTGACTAGAATAGAACCAGCAACTTCATGGTTCATGGATTGACACTCAATTACTAAGCCACACCAGCCAGGCTTATCCATTTTTCAAACAGCTTTAACGAAGTACAATTTACATATAAAATCCACTAATTTCAGACTTTTCTGGAATTTCATATAAACAGAAACATACAACACATGGTCCCTTGTGTCTAGATTTTCTTTTTCTTTTTAAAAAAAAAATATATTTTATTGATATTTCACAGAGAGGAGGAAGGGAGAGACACAGAGAGCAAGAAACGTCAATGAGAGAGAAACATTGACCAGCTGCCTCCTGCACACCCCCCACTGGGGATGTTCCCACAACCAATGTACATGCCCTTGACCGGAATGGAACCTGGGATCCTTCAGTCCGCAGACTGACGCTCCACCACTGAGCCAAACTGGTTTTGGCAATTTTCTATTATGTTTTTGAGACTCATCCATGTGGTTGTGTATACCAGTAAGTTTGTTTCCTTTTATTGCTTAGTGTTCCATTGAATGGAGAAAGCAAATTTTGCTTATCTAATAACCAGGTGAGAAAATGTGGGTTTGGCTCAGTGGATAGAGCGTCGGTCTGTGGACTGAAAGGTCCCAGGTTCGATTCTGGTCAAGGACATGTACATTGGTTGCGGGCACATCTCCTGTAGGGAGTGGTGTGCAGGACACAGCTGGTCGATGTTTCTCTGTCATTGATGTTTCTCTCTCTTCCTCTCCGTAAAAAATCAATAAAATTTAAAAAATGTGGGTTGTTTCCAGTTTGTGGCTATCCCATATAATAAAAGCCTAACACTAAGTGTCTGATCATTCAATCAGTTGCTATGATGTGCACTGACCACCAGGGGGCAGGTGCTCCAACCAGTAGATTAGCTTGCTGCTGGGGTCCTTCAAATCAGAACTAGGCAAGACAGGCTGGACAAACCCTGCAGTCCTACTAAGGTCCCTCCCCAGCCGGCCAGCCCCAACTGGCTTTGATCAGGAATGGGAGAGACTGACTGGACATGGGCCAGACACGCCCTGGACAAATCTGTGCATGGGGCCAGATTCAGCCTGATCCCTGCAGACCAGGCCGAGGGACCCCACTGGTGCATGAATCTATGCACTGGGCCTCTCGCTATGAATAATTTTCAATAAACATTGAAGGGGCCGAAACCGGTTTGGCTCAGCGGTAAAGTTTCGGTCTGCGGACTGAAAGGTCCCAGGTTCGATTCTGGTCAGGGACATGTACATTGGTTGCGGGCACATCCCCAATAAGGGGTGTGCAGGAGGCAGCTGGTCGATGATTCTCTTTCATCGACGTTTCTAGCTCTCTCTCTCTCCCCCTGCCTTTCTGTAAAAAATCAACAAAATATAAAAAAATAAATAAAAATAAAAATAAAAAATAAACATTGAAGGGTAAATCTTTTAATGTATGATGTCTTGGGTAAATACCTATGAATGGGACTGCTGGGTTGGATAGTAAATGTGTATTTATGTAATCTTATAAGATATAAAATGTTTCTGAAGGTGGCTAGATTACTTTGCATTTCTAAAAACAATGTATGAGTTCTACTTACTCCATAGAGACATCAGAGCTTGGTATTGGTGGTCTTTTCATTTTAGTGACTTCAGTGATTGTGTAGTTTTTCCTACTGAGGTTTCAATTTGCACTGCCCCGAAGGTTAATTCTGTTGAGTATCTTTTGTGTGCTTATTTGACATTAAAGAAGTCTTTGGTAAAAGTTTCTATTCAAATATTTTGCCCTTTAAAAAACAATCAGGATGTTTGTCTTTTTACTACTGAGTTATAAGAGTTCTTTATGAATTTAGGATAGAAGTCCTTTGTAGATACATTTATCGCAAATTTTTTCTCAAACTGTGGCATACCTTTTTATTTTATTAACAGTATCTTGACAAGCAGTCATTTTTAATGTATCAGTTGCTTCTTTATACAGCGTGAAGTCGGGCCATTTTTACTTAATCTAAGTTGGCAAAGTTTCTCCAATGTTTTGCTTTAGAAAATTTAACTTTTGAATTAGATCCATGATGACACATTTGGTGTTATTTTTGTGTATGGTGAAGGTAAAGGTCAAGGTTCATTTCCCCCCACATGTGTATTTTGGTGTTCTGGCATTATTTTGTTGAAAAAAACTATCACTTCCCTATTGAATTTCCTATGTACTTTTGTTAAAAATCAAGTGACCATTATGTGTGGATTTACTTATACTTTGTTCCAATGATACATACCTCTATCTTTATGGCAAAACTATACTGTCTTGATTAGTGTAGCTATAACAAAGTCTTGAAGTAAGACAGCAGAGTTCTCCAAATTTCTCTTTTTAGTCAAAAGTGCTTTGGCTATTTTATTTAAGGTCTTCAGATTTCCACATAAATTTTACATTTAGCCTGTCAATTTTTACACTGAGCCTGATGGGATTTTTATTTGAATTTCTTTGAACCTTAGATAGATCTCTTGGGTAGAACTGATCCCTTAAAAATACTGAGTTTTCTGCTCTAGCCAGTTTGGCTCAGTGGATAGAGGGTCAGCTGGGTCCTGGGTTCAATTCCAGTCAAGGGCACATACTGGTAGCAGCTTGATTCCTGGCCCTGGTCAGGTACATGTGGGAGGCAACCAATCGAAGTGTCTCTCTCACATAGATGTTTCTCTCTCTCCCCCGCCTTTCCACTCTCTCTAAAATGAAATGAAAATAATACCCT